GAGGGTGGGAGAGAGATGAACGAGGGTGAATATGCGAGAAGAAATGAAGAGAGACAAAGAAAAATTTTGAGGGGGAAACAAGGATCGGGTTCGGGTGGGGGGTTATTTCTCGAGCGAAACACCTCGAAAATGAATCCGGAACATCATCATAACACTCCGCCTTTCGTTATTAAACCGTGTCTCAGACGAACACTCTCTCGGCATAACGGGCCGCAACTTTAAACTTCAAAAGTAGCGGTGCAATAAGTTTCTCTCCCAACCCCCTCGGCCAGGATAACGCGGCTCTAAAAGTTCGCTCCTTCCTCCTTTCCAAAAAAAAAGCTCAAAAAATTAAAAGACGTGCGTGAAACAATTCGCGTGTTCGTGTGGGCTTCGTACTTATGCAGCCTCAAGCAATTATAACCGTCTAGCGCCATTCTCGAAAACAGCTCCAAAGAAAGGGAGCAATGTACGAAAAAATTCCAGTTATCCACCGTAGCTATCTTTGTTGAGTTTACGTGCAAATTTCAACCGACTACTGGAATAAGTAAAGAAAGATAGAGATTTCATTAGAGCATGAGTTCTACGGCTTGCCTTTATACACTAAAAGAAACGCCTGACTCATTGCAAGAAAGGGCATGTTTCCTTGGCAGTTTTTCGTTCATTCGAGGAAAATACCCGTCACGCCAAAAAAGCTATAGAAACTGCCGTGATTTTTCTTCTATGTGCGAACAAAATTCTGCAAAAACTTCAAAGAATGATGCCAGTTTGTTCTCTTTTAAAAAATAACATAGAGGCGAAGATTTTCAGACGCAGCGAACGACTTAGGTGATTGCCGACTTACACCGTCGATATATAGTTCAATCATCTCAGAGGACTAGAGTGGAAAGCGGGATTCAAATATTTACGGCGTAAAAAGAGACCGCCAAAAGAAGAAAAAAAAGTAACAAGTAAACTTAAAGCGTGCACTGCGAAGGGAAAATTTGCGATAATGGGCTGAAGGCGCAAGTTGGAAATACGAGGACATTTTACGGGTCATTTACTATGTCGGATATTTCCGAGGCTACGAGTGTCCCCTCCCTCTCCCTGCTCGTCTTCATTTCTGTAGTTGGGTCAAAGCCATTCATTTTCCCTTGATAGGGACAACCGGAGTTATTCCTTGGGGACTGCTCGATGAAGCTGACCAGAACTCACTATCCCTTTTAAACCCACTTCCATCTTCCACTACAAGCGAACACATATGCATTTTTCCTTATCAGAGACTTATCCGGTGAATATTTAATCTATATCGAAAGTTTGAATCCTTCGATCAGGGTTGCCACAAAATTTAGAAAATGAGACACCCGGACAAATTCCTGATTTCCCTGACACATATGGGTAAAATTCCCTGATAATTGAGGATAGGTCATATGGCCAAAAAGACATAATTCGAAATAGTTTCCAGGAAAAATTTGTTGTTCTAGACTCCAAATCCATTCTAGAAAGCGAAAAAAAGGTAAGTTAACAATTTTTTCCAGACACTTTCGACATATTCCCTGACATTTTCAGGTTTTCCCTGACTTTTCCCGGTATTCCTTGACTGTGGCAACCCTGTATCTATGGTAGACATTCGGACTTTATTGACAGTAAAATATGTCAATGTGATTCCGCCTTCAATTGAAAAATGATTTATTCAATTGGCGGGTTTTTTTCTTCTTTTTTTTTCCCGAAGATATTGCGTATTGAAAAGCAAGGCGTATGACGTCCCGGGCGCATGATCGGGCATTTTCTGCACCCCTGGCTCTGCAATATAGCAATCGGAGAGTTGTGGTTTCGCTTTCCAGCCATCGATTTGCTATCTAAATGCTTAGACTACTCAAATTAATTGCGATGGACGCAAGGGTCGTAAGACAGTATGTTGGAGTTTTTAAACCAACGTGCGTTAAAAATTCAGCATAATGTATTGAGATTTTCAGCTTAATGCTGAATTTTTAACGCACGTTGGCTAAAAAACACCAACATACTGCTTAAACTACCAAGGAATGATCTAGGCGGCTAGCGCAATGGAGAATTTGCATGAAAATTTGTTATTGCTTCATCTAAGAGTGCTTAAAGAGCTGATTTCACAGAATTTTTTATGACTTTTTTCTAATAAGGGAAATAGAATAAAAATAGATTTAAAAACGAGAAAATGCACCGCCTAGTGACGTCATCTGGCGGCATTTCCCATTTAAACATATGTACTTTAGCAAATTAGCTCATTTTGTCATATCTTCTCCGATAATTCTTCAATTCATGAACCGAGGGTATCTCCGTTTTCAGTTCACTCCGTAGCTTCCACTTAAACACGAAATTCATCAAATTTCAGACAAGTGCAAATTCTCTATTGACCCAGTAAAGTACAATCTTCGACTTTGAGAAAACTCTCCACTTTTGGGGGGAGGGTGGAGCGGAGGCGGGAGCAAAATTATCCCACCCCGCCAACGCAGTACCTAATCTTACGGGGTGAGGTCTTCCCGACGGCGGGGCGGGGGCGGGGGAGGAGCAAGAGCGACCGGCGTTCGATGAGTTCGATTAGGCATGTAAACACGGAATCCAGGATGAGGGGCTGAAAATAGCTGGTTAATTGTATCGCTCTCGGGAACAATGAGCAATTAAAACGGTGGCGCCCGGGGGCTCCCCTCCGCCCCCGCCCCTCGCGGCACAATTCACCGCTCCTCGACGAAGGGGCGTAACTCCACTTCCGCATGAGCCCTAGAAAGCATAGAGATATACGGAGCACAGGGCTCACACGGTGATAGAGATACGCCCTTGCGTCGGAGGAGCGACGAATTTGACGAGTTCGCCTTGAACCGCGCCGTTCGCGAAATTTCAACTTGGCCGGCCGTTTGCGTTTTTACGTGGCGACATTTGAAAAATGCAGTCCGCCCCCCTCCCCCGTCCCCTGTGGAGGTCCCCCCGACGTCGTGCGCGCCGTTGCCGGATCGTGCAAAGCCTCCGCGGGGACCTCACGGATATCCCGACCGCGGTCCTCCACCGGCGATCTTCGTTGTTGCGTGTCGCGATGACAGGACCACCGCAGCATGACGAGTCTCCGACGTTGTCTGCTCACGTTTCCGAAAAATAAATAGATAAACAGGAGTAGTGGTACTTCAATACTTTTTGAACTGCGTTTTGGGTAACCTCAATGGAGGAACTCCCACCAAACGCGACCTCTAGCGTACAAAATTGGTAAAAACTTTCGGGTAGATTCCAATTCCTAACCCAAAAAAAAAAAAAAAAAAAAAAAAAAAAAAAAAAATCGATGGTCCAAGTACAAAACCACGTATCTCCACCGCGATGTTCCGAAATTTCCGCTCCTGTTTTGTCTTTTCGGAAAGAAACAGCCTTAGCCTTAACGCTTGAAATTTGCGCAGAATATTCTGCTAACAGAGAGGAAAAATGGAGGAAATTTTTCAAGAAATAACGCTGACTAATTTTCCAAAGGAAAAATAAAGTGTGACAGGAGGTCTGCTACGTCGCAAATGGAGATAGGTGGTGTTGCACTTTGGTCATCGATATTTATTTGGCACTAACTGAGTGTCTACAGACTCGATCCGATAGAATGAAATTCCCCGAATCTCCAGTTCTTCCCTGACTAAAATTATAAACGTTCTCTGATTTTTCACGTCGACAAATTTTGCGCGCCACGCGCTGTATTCAGGGCACCGCTCAACAACGGATCGATGACTCTCGGCTCCGCATGGTTCCGGCATGAAGGTTCAGTTACACGGTCAAATTGAGCCATCAAACTGAAGTTCTGATTCGTGAAAAAAGACCTGAGGTGAGGATGCGACCAATGAGAGGCCTAATTTGATGGCTCAATTTGATCGTGTAACTGGACCTTAAGACGGTCGTGCGGGGTCTCCATCTCCGACAACAGACATGACGAAATGGCAACGCAGGACCGGCGACAGACCTGCCCGATAATTGCTCGCGGGAAGGTCGAGAGGTTGTACAATAAAATGAGGGTATTATACGTGGATTTAAATGGGAAAAGAGCTCATTTACAGCACCATTTGACAGTAACGCTCGCGGGAAATGCAAAAGGATGTAGACGTAGATTCCGAGATTCTGCCCGCACTCCGGCAAGATGCGCTAATTCAGTAGAACTGGAGAGAAAATTGCCCCGGCGAAAGAAATGCCTCTAAAAAAGTTTATGTCGAAGGTGCGGGGAGTGGGGGGGGGGCACCGGACTCGGATACACGAGCTACGTGTCAAACATTTGACGGGCTGTCAAAATCAAGACACACCCAAATCTGGCCCCTCTATCACTAATTTTCCCCGTTTCTCGTGTTAGTGCTAGGGAATTTTCCGAAAATTCCTCGAGACCAATTGAAAATTGCCTTGAACAATTTTTTGAGTCATTAAGAGAAATTGAGTGATTTTTGCTCTCTGCCGAAATTTGTGAAAATGCATTTCAGAAGCTACATCTTTCCAAGATAAATACGTACAGCTCTCCTACTTTTCTTGAAATGGGCTTCTTTCGTAAAGAAAAAATAAAAAAAATTAAATAGAAACAGAAAGAATAAAAAAGAAATAACATTAAGAAAGTGGAAGGAACAAAACCAAATAAAATAGAGAGGCTAATTGAGAGAGAAAGGGAAATGAAGGGAGGTATCCAAAAGTGTCAGTATAGAAGTCGAACAATTTCGAAGTGTGAATTTGGATAACAGGCAAAAGCTCTAAATCAAGAATGTCTATCTAAATCGATCGACGTGTCTAAATCACTAGAAGTCAGGTAGATATCTGTCGAAAGTCTGCCGTGGTTTTTTTTCTTTTTTTTCTTTCTTTTTTTTTTAAAAAAAAAGAGGAGGTAACAAAGCAAAATTTCAAACTTTTACTCGGTCCAGACTTGATGTGAGTTGGTCATTTCTATTAATCTCAGTTCACGTAGTGTGAAGTTTCCACACTTCCATTGGGAACAAGGCTTAATTCAGGAGCAGGGGAACTTCGGTTTGTTGAGATGAAAATGAAATTAAAACAGACTAGAGTAAACTTACGTTAAAATTGAGAGACTGTCAAATGCCAGGACTCATCTGTAACATGAAAAACATTAGTAACATTAGTTTGGCCATTAGTTTTACCCAACGTTTCGTATAATGATAACATTTTCTTGGGCGCATTCTACATTACAATGTTGTAACATAACGCACAATTTTTTTTAAGACTTTATCGGCACTATGAACGCATTGAAAAAAATTTCAGTTTGCATCAAGTCATACATTCTGCAGCGTAGGTCCATCACTTTAACAGCCACTGTTCTACCAGCGTTTCAGAAGTAAGGAGGACAATTGCAAGGAAAACTACGTGGTTGCTAGGCGGTCAGATGCAGAGGAGTCCGCAACGCAACGTTCAATCATTCCAAGAACTTGGAGCTCAACAGCACAATATCCGCGGTGAACCGCGATGCTAAAAGGTCCCATACGTCCTGGCTCCTACCTGCCTCGTCGCAGTCTCCAGACTCACATTGCCATGCTAAGGAAAAACGCCGTATGAGCCTTGGCGCGTTGCCAAATTTTCCGTTGATAGAACACGAATTTTGGGGGAAACTTGTGGAAATTATCCGTCCAATTTTTCAGAAGATGTTCCTCTCAATGTGACCTTAAGTATCTTATATTTTCAAGTGGATAAATTCATACATTTTCTCAAAAATTGACATTTTAAGTTCGGAAATTTAGCAACGTGCAAATGTTCATACGGTGTTTTTTCCTAGCACAGCAGCATAGACCCTCATCCTGTAATATTCCTATTGTGTGGGAAGAATAGATTCTCTTTACACAATAAGGATTCGCGAAACCTACGAATGTGGACTTCGTTGACGGTGGTCAACTGGCCAAGCTATGTTTACCATCCCTCTCTGGGATTCCATCTTATTTGAAAAATAAGCTCGGTGGTTCATGCAGTATCGCCCGCGCTTCCCTCTTCATCCTTCCAAGAGGAAGTAAAGAAAATCAGTGCCTTATTTTTACAGAGAATTTTCTAGTTTGTAAAATGTTCTGCTGTGTTGCGGTAAAATTGATTAAGGTGATTCGATGGACGCAATATTTTGTGTCAGAACGGCATGCGATATATCGCATCGATTGGTTCCATTTTTTCAGCTACTCGTCATTTTTCTCCAATTTTGAGATCGCAATTCTGTTGTCGGAGACTAAAGCACTCACTTACCAATGTTAACAAAGAAATTCAACGTAATAAAGGCGTGGTTTTTTTACATAGAAAACATCGCATTCGATACTAATATCGAAACTGCACTCGAATGCGAATTGAATTCACCTTTCCACCTTTCCAACCTTCCAACACCAAAGGCGTTCTTCCTTAGCACGGCAGAACTGTCCTAGCTATTCTACCGACCACTCTTGATGAGGAAAACTCTTCTCTCCCAAGAAAGGTTAGCTCCCTTCCGTTGGACAAACGGACGTAAAACAAATGAGAGTTGTCAAACCTGCGAGGGTGACCACTGTCCTGGTGACTAAAGACAAGTCGAGTTTCCGCGGGACTCGCGAGCATTTCGGCCTGGCCCGTAGCCCGTTAGCCGAGGTTGCGGTCCGCGGTTCGCGCGGTGGCGATGGCCGTCCAGGTGCCCGCTGCCCCGGCTCCCGGACTCCCCGTTTCCCAAGGAATCAATTAATCCTCGCTGCGCGCTTCGGCGCACGATGGGTCCAGTCAATAGGAGGGCTCGTACAAAATTCGGAAATTTTAAAAGCTTAAAACTCCGTTCATACAAAACTTTGAGCTTTTAAAAGTGGTTCCATCGGTTTCCGCTGGGAAATATTCTTCGGGAGGCACCCATTATAGTTCAAAATGCGACGCACACAGAAAAAAATAGATGGTGCTGACGACAGAACCTTCTATTCACAAGGCTCCTGTAGTTTCTTTGTTACACTTACAGAATTTTTCTGTTGTGAGAACAGAACTTCAGTCGTAGGAACAGAGTACTCTGTCCACATAACGGAAGCTTCCGTGACTGTTACAAGAGAAGTGCAGGAGCCCAGTGAACAGAAGGTTCTGTCGTCAGCACCATCTATTTTTTTCTGTGCAATAAACATAAAAATTTGCAGTTTTAGCTGCAAAATTTCATGACCAACCCTCCAATCGTACCTCGGCTACATTGAAAACAGTAGTTTGGTTCACACGGCTCCACTTCTTTTGTAACAGTCGCAGAAGCTTCGATATGAGGACAGAGTGTACTGTTCCCGCATCCGAAGTTCTGCTCTCACAACAGAAAAATGCTGTAAAGGTAACAAAGAAACTGCAGGAGCCCTGTGAACAGAAGGTCCTGTCGTTAGCACCATCGATTTATTTCTGTGTATGGCGGAATCTTTAAATTTCGTCTAACTTACCTACATGGTTGATGTTGAACAACGTTTTGGCAGTTTCGTTCTGCAAGCAAGCCGAAGTTTGGGAAACTTGTTTGGCTCATGACGTCACCCGAAGCTCATCATCCACTATGTAGGTAGGTCAACAGCCGGAAAAAGAATGATGACTGTTGCTCCCTTATAATTGTCCATAAGTAATTGATGAATCCCCGAAAGTAAAAGCTCCTACCTGTCGCCATGAGGCCAGTGGAGGGTCTCTTGTCTCTGGACCTCTCTAATTGACTCGATCCACTGTGCGGCGCGGAGTTTCAATTGTCCACTTTTCCCAATTTCCTCCGCGCGGGTCCACCGCGACTTTTCACGCCCATCGATCTTCCTCCCCGCCCCCCTCCCCCACTCTATGACCGGGGTTCGAGTCTTGTTCCCACGCTCGACTTCCGCCGGCCGCACCCGTTACCTTACCGACGTAAGGGCGTATCCCAATTTCCTCGTGGTCCCTGCACTCCGTACACTTATATGTTTCCCAAAGCTCGTGCAAAAACAGAGTTACGCCCTTACGTCAGAGACGCGGTGCCGAGTAGATACGGCCGGAGGGCATGAAACGATCAAATTACCACAAAAAAGGCTAAATTTATGAGCAGAGAGGATGAGCTTTTGCATCTCTTATCGATCGTGTTCAGAATCTTAGATTTTCTTGAATGAGGAATTTGCAGGTGACTTAAATTTGATGAATTTCGCATTCGAGTTGAAATCACTGAACTCGGCGCGAGTCTACCCTTTGTTTATAAATTTCACAATTACTGGAGGAGATATGGCAAAATGATCTGATCTGCTAACATACATTTGTTTAAAACGGATATGCCGCCAGATTCCAAAAAAGGAATCAAAATTCAGAATAAGGAGAAAGTCATAAAGAGTATTGTTTGGCGGTAAATTTGCCTTCGAAACATCGTTTTGTCATACATACATACATAAAGTCGCGATTATACACTGAGAAAAAACTATGGCTTATAAACCTATTAGAGGTAAATATGGAACACCACTAATAGTAGTACCTCTACATATAATAATAGCACATATACCTTAGTTATGGTCTCTGTACCTTAATTAGGTACAGAGACCTTAGTATGGTTCACAGACCGAGAATCATTAGTTTATTTACGACTATTATAGGTGTTCCATATTTACCACTAATAGGTTTATAAACCATAGCTTTTTCTCAGTGTAGCGCCGCCTCGCGCTCTGCGACGCCCAATCGCCATTGCCCCCTATCCTCCCAGAGATCATCAGGCAATTGGCACCTTCTGATCTCCTCCTCCACCCCTTGTCGCCAACCTTTCACAGGACGTCCACGCCGTCGCCTTCCGGGAGGAACCCAATCGAAGACCTGCTTGGGCAACCGATCATCTGCCATCCTTCGCACATGTCCATACCAGACCAACTGCTTGGACCTGATATCGTGCACGATGTCCTTTTCCACACCCATTATCTCGCGTACCCTTTCATTGCGGATACGCTCTCTTCTCGATATCCCAGCAGACCTTCGCCAAAAGTCCATCTCGGTTGCCCTAAGCATGTCTTCAGTTCTTTTCTTAAGTTGCCAGACCTCACTCCCGTAAGTTACGATACTCTTCACGATGACGTTGTAAATTTTCCTTTTGGTCTCCTTGGAGATACTCTGGTCCCAGAGAACCCCATTTAGCATCGCGATAGCTTTCCTGCCTTGCACATTCCGATCTTTAATGGCCCGATCCAAATTTCCGTCCTTAGTTAACCGAACTCCGAGATATTTATACTCTTCACAGTCCAGGATCTTCCGGCCATCCTCCAGTTCAATGCTTTGCTGATCACCACCGATAACCAACTTCTCCGTCTTAACCACATTTACTTCCATTCCCCACTTTCGGTATACTTCCACTAGCTTCCGCGTCATGTAATTCGCATCTTCTTCGTCCTGAGCTATTACCACCTGATCATCAGCAAAGCACAGAGTATAAAGGGTGCCATCTTCACGTAGCGGGACGCCCATTCCCGAAAAGCATCTTTTCCATTCCTTTAAAACTTCTTCCAGGTACACTTTAAATAAGGTTGGCGACAAACAACACCCTTGTTTCAGTCCTTTAGTAATTAAAAACCCCAACGATAACTCCCCATGCGATTTAACCCTAGAGAAAGCCCCACCATAAAATTCCTTAATAGCACTAATTAGTCCCCCACTAAAACCCCTTTTGTTCAAGGCTTCCCAAAGTTTCATCAATGGCACACTATCGTAAGCTTTCTGGAGATCCACAAACACTAGATGTAATTCCTGGCCAACTCCCTTCTTTTTCTCTATGACGTGGATGATGGTAAATAAGTGATCAATCGTTGACCGACCGGCTCTGAAACCTGCTTGCTCTTCCGCTTCATGTTCTTTCCACTCCTCTTCAATTTTTGCTTTCAAGATTTTTCCATACACTTTGCTCAGGGTACCTGCAACCGACAGTCCTCTATAGTTATCACACTCATCTTTTCTACCCTTCTTCTTGTATATAGGTGACACCCAAGACTCTTTCCATTCTGTCGGTACCTTTCCACCGTCCAAGCAATCTTGCATCAGGTATCTCAACCGTTGAAACAGCTTGCAGGTTCCACACTTGATCAGCTCAGCAGGGATATTTCCCGGACCTGGAGCTTTATCGTTCTTCAGCTCTCGTACGGCCTTTACCACGTCCTCCATA